TCTTTCCGTGGTCACATGGGCAGTGTGATTTAGACACGGACGCTGTTTACCTTCCCACCGAGGCGGTACCTATTTATCTACTTGCATTTGCATGCTTTCGAACCGCTAGGTTGGCGGGAGCTGGGACAGGCGACAGGTGCTCATTCCGTCGCGTGGATTCGAACTTACGACTGCTGGTCTTCTGACCGTGCAGCACAGGCTTCTGCGGTTTAGCCCACAGCGCCACCACGTGGTATGTTCATTTAAATGATGATCTCCTTCTGTTTCAAGAACTGCTGAAGAACTGTGCTTTCTAGATCTTTGCACTCACATTTTGCCGTTGACTTCATAGGAATCCACTTGAATATATACATTGGTTTAAGTGTGATGGCAAAACAGAGAACAACAAATAGCCACTAGTCAAGAAGTCTCCAAATAAATTCCTAGTCGTGTGCCAAGTCACACAACTGGCACGTGACTAGGAATGTAATCAAGGATTCATTAATTAGTTGCTATTCACTGCTTTAAGTTACACACTGCACTTAACACTTTCTGGCCAATATTTTTTTTCATGTTTTATCTTGACTGCTCATGATTGTCTGCATATGTCTACATGCAGAATACATTGCCATGATTGCCACAATAAAGACATATACTACAAAATTTTCACCACCTCCATGAGGTGAGAAAAATGTGATCCTCTAAGTTGACCAGAGTGATTCAGACTAATTCAGCCTGGAGGACAAACGCCTGAGATGTCAGATAAGCCCAAACTGCCTCTGTACAAAATGGTCTTACAGAACACTCATGCTGTTGATGTTTTACAGACTAATGCGAATTAATTCATTACATTCAAAATCCGGTAAGACGGCAGTCCTGGGAGCATTTCTCCTGCTCATTTTCATAGTAGTGTTCTGGATGTTTGCCCCAAAGCCCTGTACTAAAATCACTACGGAAACTTTTAGAATGTATAAGCTAGTATAACCCTAATGATTTATTTCCTGACCTGCACGAGTAAACTGGGAATAGGGTCTGTAACATTGAAATAGTTGGTTTAATAAACACTGTGTGTCTGGGAGGTTGTGTTTGAAGGGGAAGGGTGTGGAGATCATAGGAAGTTTGAAAAATTCAGGTAAAGGGGAGGACGGCATTGCGTAAGAGGAAGGAGGGAGTGTTCATTTCCATTCTGAGATTCTCCAGATGTTTTGGATCACAACTCCCATTACCCACCCAGCATGGATGGTGAGCAAGATGTCTGGGGATCATGGGAATTCTAGCCTGATTCATCTAGAGGTGGCCAAGTTGAAGCAGTCTTAGGTGGAAGGTAGAGGAGATTAGGTGGCTAGACATGTCTTTAGGACCCACTTCTATTGAGTTTTTTTAAATAAAAAATTAAAGTTCGTGCTGGTCAATTTGGGAAGAAGGCAATGATTGGAAGGAGGAGGGTTTGACTCTTTCCTGCTTACGTAAGAAGGTTCCCAGTCTAAATTTGTCCCCTTATGCTTACTTCAAAGTAAAAATTCATCAAATTTGCAGCTGCATCTCATGCATTTAATGCAGTTAAGTCCCACTGTCCTGTTGAACCCTGCATGCTATTATATTCAACTGCAATGTGCAGATCAGGAGTGGCCTCATTAATGCAGTATATTAATCTTTCCTATATGAGAACTAATCAGTGTGATGTAATGAATAGAGCGTCAGACTAGGCTACGGGAGGCCTGGGTTCAAATCCCTGCTCAGCCGTGGCAGCTCACTAGGGGAATAGAACTGGTAAATCCACTCCTTAAATATCTCACTTACCTTTAAACCCCTATTAGGGTCGCTATAAATTGGTTTCAACTTGACAGCACATAACTAACTGTACGAAAACGGGGAGGTTACAAATGCCATTCATTTCTGAAATATAATCGGAGCCACCTCTAGCATCAGACAGAGTGCGGTGACTACCTCAGGCAACAGAATGCAGGGGGTGGTGGCAGGATTAACCGCAATCTCTCTGATGCCGAGCTGCCCTCATTTCCTCAATGTTAAGGCAATGGAGCTGTATAAGCCACATACTCCATCCTAAACCCCACAAATTAGCCTCCTGCTTTGGGGGGAGGGATAGAAGTCACTGCCTTGCTACCAGTTTTGACATGAGACTTAGCTGGAATGGGGAGGCAACGCCATCTTATCCTTTGTCTCATGCAACAAAAGATCTGAGGTCTCCCTGGAAATGATGAGAAAAGGTATACAAGTGAGAGCTGCGAAGCTAAGAGCATTCAAAGGGTTAAAAACTTGCCAGGGAGCCAGCTTGCCCAATTCCGAAAGATACTGTCCTGAGCTAGAAATACTAGGTTTGCCACAGGCAAGCCGGAACCTCAAAGCTGGTTTAGCAGCTTCTCTTGCAAGGGGGCTTGATCTTGTAGAAAAAAGCAGTTACTAAGCAGTTTATGCAGGGCGGAGGAATGAGCATCTCATCACAGAAGCCACCAAACAACTGAAGCTTTGCTAACACAGCTGTTTGTACCAAGAGATGGGGCGTGGATTAGATGGGTGGAGGAGGTTGAATGCTGGAGAACAGAAGCTAAGAGCAGGTACAACTGGACTGCCGAGATACACCTTGTTTGAGAAAGTTTTCATTAAGTGGGAAGGCCTAGTGCGTGGACTGGCTCAAAACAGGTTGTGGCTATCAGCTCCAACCCAATCTCAGACAGGACCAATCCACTTTTGTTATTCACAGTTGTTTTTATTCATGCTGCAACTACACAGTGGGGAAAATATGGTTGGATTCACTGTGTACTTGCATTATACCAGATCCTCTTTTCCTGTGTAAACCACTGTAGCTGTCCAGATGACAATTTACAGGAGTAAGCAGGACAGAGGCAGAAAGCTCTGTTTGCACAGAGCTCCAACTGGTAGACCCTGCCTTAAGGTGCTAACAATGTGCTATTTGGTAAATTCCACCACTCTTTTTATTTAGTTCTTCTAAATGCCCTAGTAAAACCCTGTTCCAGCACTAAATCGAAACTTACGGTTGCTCTGTTGAGTGGAACTGATACCCTTGCAAGTATCCATTTGCCATCAGATCAGAACATCATACTGGTAGAAAATGAATAAAAGTAATGTCAGCCCACTTGGAACAAATGTAAACCACCTCTGCCTACTGAACAAAAAAGGTGATTCCCTGCTCAAAAGTAACAATTCCGCAATGGGCTTCCCCACATTGAGTTTTGTGTCATGTAGTCAGCAGGTTTTGATTTAGGATTCATCTGTACCCAATCCAATTTAATTGGTGAATCCAAATGGTGCTGTGTAGTTGCGTCCTTAGAGATACCAGACCCACTGATTAATAAACTTGGAAAGTGTTCTTAAAGGCAGCAATGACTTTTCTTCCAATTTTCAACACATAGCAGAAAATTCAATCAGTTATATCATCATATGTGCATTCTTTTACGTTTCTTCACATTACAGTTACCAAAAAGGAAGAAAACTTCAATTTAAAATAAAATTATGGTTAGCTATATAAAGTTTGTAGAAGTTACAAACTTGCCAAAAGTTATCTCTACTGAAGAAGAGTAGGGTAGATAAGGACAATTTTCCCCATAATTACCACTGTACGTTGTCCACTTGAATAAAATATGCAAGCAGAACCTGCAAAATTTCCAAAGAAGGGAGGGTTAAGAAGGAGAACTGCAACATCAAGTGCACAAGTGCAATTGAAGGTGGCCAAGAAGGAGAAAGAGGAAGATGAGGAGGAGGAGGAGAAAGAAAAGGAGAAAAGTCTCCACTATGCATTTATTTGGGTGTCTATACTATTTAATCTACTCGGAGAATCAGGTCAAACCCCTTTCCTCTCCAATACTGCTTCCAGCACCATAAACCACATTACAGGTAACAATCTACGAAAAGGTACAGTATGATAAAGAATGAATTGAACCACACAAAAGTGTACTGAAGCATATTCTGTAGCTACAACTCTTAACTGTCAGCGGATGTCATATAAACATAATCCAGGTACCGTAAAAGCCACACCCAAATCGGAAAGAATGGCAGCCTAAACGAGAACTTAAGTGAGAGTTCTTAAAAGGGTAAAGATAAGGAAGACGAAGTATTATTGCAAGGGGTGCTTTGGGGGTTAAACTGCTTCTGGCTGTTGAGCCTTGATTAGAAATCTTTCCCATGTATCTGCATTTCTCAAACACCAGTGTTGATTGAGGTACGTTTTTATTGTAAATGGGCTCCTTTTTGCTGGCTGGCAGGCAAAAATAAGGCATGGGTGTTTTCCTTTGTCCCATTCCAAATGGAATAAAAGGCTTTTAAGACAAGCGAGTATTGCACTGCTCATCTGTGTTTTACCTCCCCACTCCAAAGCCTCTTGAGCCAAAGTTTTATAGTCTTTTGGGACAAGGTGAACCTTGACGTTGCCAACTGCTGCTGCCTCACCCCTCACACCAGCTGCTGTTGAACTGAGCACATCCCCTGCCTGCAGGGTTTAACAGAATAGACAGAGACGTTGGCCCGGCCCATCCCTCTCCTCGCTGGTGAAACTGCCGTTAAGTCGCTAGGATTGTCCGGGTGCAGGTGCGAGAAAGCCTTCCTGTGGCCGGCTTTGCAGGCAGCCGGAGATGAAAGGTGCTCAAGTGAGGAAATCAAAGCACCTTCAGAAGTCAGCAAACCACCCATGGAAAAATGTACACCGTTCATCAATGCAAACTGGCAGAGTGACCCCTTTGGAAAACGTGACTGGGAACAGGAGGAGGAGGAGGGCTTGTCCACTGCCATCATAGAAAACCCACAAGCCGAAGGCCTGTGCTTGTCACGTCCTGGCAGATTTCAGGATGGGTAAACCACAGCCTTGACAATGACATGAATTTTTCCCACAGCAACAACATGTGCTGACACCAGGAGCAATTGGGCACTAGCAAAGCAAGGAAAAGGTGTAAGGCCCTGAGGAACTCCAAAAACAAGCCAGAAGCAATCCAAAACGTTTCAGCAGTTTTGACAGATTATCCATTTAGCCTCCTCAGATTCAAACTTACCCATTTTCTCTTGAGGCGGTGAGAAGGAAGAGAGAAATCTTGGGATGGTCCACTCTGTACTCTCCTCTGTTTCGTTTATGTGGCACTAATCCCAGAGAGGCTTAGCTTTGGTCACACCTGAAATGCATTTACAGGATTGAAGCATCTTCTATTCTACCAAAGCAAACGAAGCAAGAACCAAATTTGTCAGGTTTTCCCACTCAGTTCGTTATGTGAACCTGTAGAGACAGTCCATATCACTCCTCTGACTAGTGCTTTGTTGGTCATCTGTCCCTCAATGAAGTGAGAAGCAAATTCGGAAGGGAAATCTGACTGGAGACAGCTGGGACTACTTTCACATTAGTGTCCAGGGCAGGGGAGGGAAAATTTGAATGGAGATTTTCACAGCTTTCCAGAGGTTGAATTAGACCTAAAGGCTTGGAGACTTCATAGAACTGGAAGAAGCCTTGTATAAGGCCCTGGAGTCCAACCCCTTGCTCAATGCAGGAATCAATTCACCTTTAAAGCAGGTTTCCCTCTCCTCCTTTAAATATTATTGCTCCAGGTCAGAAGTGGGAATATGAGAAATGCTTGGTGCAATTACTGCTCTTGCATGGGGCAATAACAGAACAAAAACCACCCCACTCTACATTTTTTTAGCACAAAAAAGTGACATTTTCACCTTTCCTTGCTTTGAGGTTCAGGCTACATAAGGAGAGATGACTTTGCTACCCAAATTAATCTGTTTTGAGGAAACACACCCCACCTCCCTCAGTAATACAACGATTCCCTCATGTATGTACATGTACAAACATTGCATGTCTGGAATTAGATGAGTCACCGGAGAACTTGGCTGCCGTGGAAGCTGAGAGGAATGTGATGAAGTGCAACAGGTAGAGAAGACTGGCCAAAGCCATCAGTCTAGGTGGCTCAGGGTACCTGGGCTTTGGAACCGTGTTGGGTAAAATCAGGGTTTCTTTGGGTGGACAGAGACTGTTATTCAGAATATCCCAGGTGCCAAACAGGGTAGGGGGTTATGGGAGTTATAGGCCATAAGTCTTCCCAAGTTTGGGAACATCCACTTTCTGACTTCTAAGTTACTGCAAACCCCCATACTCACAACAATGGACTCACTCCATGAAGGATTATAATCGGCAGCAACTCACATGACACAAATCTCTTGGTTTTCAAGATTCCACATACTTTTGTTTTTATTTTTGTTGTTACAGTACCCTGGTATTCTTCTAGCCACTCTTCCATGCAACCTTGCTATTTCTGAGCATGCATAAGACTCAGGAAGGCTGAATGACTTCAGCTCCCACCACACCAGTCCTGCTTGACTTGGCTGTCCTTTCCAAGAACTCACAAATGACAAAGTTGTGTACTTTGCCTTCCGCACCAGCCTAGTGAGGTAAAAAAAAAATGGCTACCACACATGTTATTTAAAATTTCCAGTAGGTAGGCAGGAGGCAAGGTTGGAATTTACTACAAATACCCAACACCGGGCCTTTACGTGGGTGAAATGTTATGGGAAACAAAAAGGCAAAACAATTCAAAAAGTAATTAAAAAGGTAAACTCCAGGGCAAGACATGTTTTGAGGACAAATAGGGGGTTATACATGAAAATAATAAAGTTAAAACCAGGTTTTTCTACCTAATACCATCAACAGAGAGGACAACATAGTCTCAGAGCGTACACAGAGCTGTCCAGAGTGGTAGCCTAACTTCTAATTGGGTAGGATACAAATGTAAATAAATAAATACACAGAGTACAACTCTATAGGAGCATCACAGCAGAATGCTTCCTAACCTTGGTTAACCCAGATGCTTTTGGACTGCCGTTCCCAGGAGGCTTCACCACCAGCTGTGCTTGGCTGGGGCTTCTGGGAGTTGCAGTCCAAGAACACCCAGGTTACCCAAAGTTGGGAACCACTGGTGTAGCAGAAACGAGAACACCCGGGTTACCCAAAGTTGGGAACAACTGGTGTGGCAGAAACAAAACACGGCTGCGTATATGACGTACTTTGCCACTAAAGTTGTCTAAGCCAGTTTAAGTGAATTCTAATCCCTGTTATGTACCTTAGTATCCCAATTCTAGATCACTCCATGCTGATGATCAATTAGGTTTTATTTCCCATAGAAACACCATGAATGCAAGAGCAGTTTCTAGCCTCTTTCCTTCTATAGCTAAGGTCACTTCATTTAATGAGAGACATCAGCCTAGCCTGGACAAACTGGCCTTGCAGACTTCTCCTCGTGGGATAAAAGTCTCTTGTTGGGCAAAGTTTTGACCCTGTTTTTCACAGACACATTCACAGGCTTGAGTCTAAGATGGATCGCATCTCCCACCTTCCCTATTTCTCACCTTCTTCGTATCACATAGGCTGAAATCTTGTTGCTTCGTGTAAGCCAAGTTGTAACCTCTTGTCGTTTTCTCCCTGGTAAACAAACCGTGATACTCGGGGGCGCATGTGCATGCACACAGGCTTGGTCTGTCCATGTGCACACCATGAGAATCACAAGAGGGAAGATTTGTTTCCCAACATGGAATGGACCAAAAATTATGATTTTGGTTATGCTAAGCAACAGGATTTCGGCCATGCACAACTAGAGTGGACCCAAACAGTGAAAAGTGAGATAACAGTGAAAAGAAATTGTGCAGCTCTTCAAGGTTTCTCTCTCTCTCATTAATGTGCTTGTTTGTTTGTATAGAAAGAAAATGACGAGAAGCGATGAGAAAACACAGAAGGGCTGGAAGACGTCAATGCTGTTTTCTGTAGCTCCTGTAAAATAATGTGAATCAGCCATGACCATCATTTGAGAAATTGCCTTGCCTGGAAGTGCCCTTAGATCAGTCTTACAGCAGTTTAGTCTTCATGGTGTGCCTCAAAGATGCCGGGAAATTTCTTGTATTTTGCACACTTTGTTGGAGAGCCCTCACCACACTCCATTTCCCTCAGGAAATACTTCACTTACAGTAAGCTCCTAACCACATTGGCTTCACAGTCAATCCTTTTATGTCTTATTCTCAAATATGCATGCATACAACTGCAGTCTAGATTGAACAGTAGATACCTCTAACTCTTGGTTATTTTCTGAGTTGATAGCCACCTGAGCTCTTTTATTCAGACTAGGTCTTGAATTGTCAACTGCAGAGCCTCAAGCTTAGCTACCCTGTTTTCCCGAAAATAAGACAGGGTCTTATATTAATCTTTGCTCCAAAAAACACATTAGGGCTTGTTTTCAGGGATGTTTTATTACCATCTACACTGATTCAAATCCAGTCATGTCATCTTCTGGTTGCTGCACAAGGGTGGAGGGTGGGGTTTCATTTAACTAGGGCTTATTTTTGGAGTAGGACTTGTATTATGAGTAGCCTGAAAAATCATAATAGAGCTTATTTTCAGGTTAGGTCTTATTTTAGGGGAAACAGGGTACTCCGCTACTGAGAGGCCACACATCAAGGAGGGTAGGATGGGATAAGATATGGCCGTGGCTTCCAAGACCAGCATTACTTTATGGCATCTCCGGAGGCAAGATGCTAGAATGGGGTGTCCTTCTCCTTGTACACCAGACCAAATAGCTTCTTGCACAACTTCTCTCCCCGTTATCACACCCTTGAGTTTGCCCTTCTCCTTGTACACCAGACCAAATAGCTTTTTGCACAACTTTTCTCCCCGTTATCACACCCTTGCTAGTCCTGACAGGGTCTTATCCCACAACTACCTCCTTCCAATCTCCACCTTTTGGGGAGCTACCTTCTTACCTGTGAAGAGGAACCCATTGACACAGTCAAGCCTGGATGTGAGCCGCCCCCTCAATCAATTGTCTGGGCCAGAAGGAATCAGTTATCCACTCTACCCACAAGGATGGAGGACTTGATAGTAGGGGGAGGGCTCACGGGAGGGAGAGCAGAAAAGGCGGGAAAGAGGACAGGTGACAGAAGGCCTTTTGTTGACAGGAGAGGGGGAGATAGGGAAAGGGAGAAGCTGGGGTTTGGAAGAATGGATTAGTCTGGAGAGAGAAGTAAAGGAGGAGAGTAGCATGGGAAAACAGAGGATTATACGTGTTCTCTTTTCCTCTGAGAGAGGAGGTAGATATGCATGGGGACAAGGAAATCCAGGTTTAGAGATACTGTAGGGGGAAAATAAATCCTTTAGAATGGACCATGTATGTATACCTGAGAGGGAAGGGTTGCTGGAAAAGGGTGGCGCGACCCAACCCTATCCCTTCTACACAGACACCTCACGAGGGAGAACAGGCTCAACACCCATGCTGTGGAACGATCTGCGTGGTGAGGAGCAACGCTCTGAGAAAATCTATGGACCGTGAGGGGGTTGGAATGTCTCGGCATTAAAAGACAACAAACTGTTATCTGGACTTCGTATGATGCAGTCTGAATCTTCAATAGTTGCCGGTCCTGTTGGGCTTACAGAAGTTGCAATAGATCCCCCCACCCCGTAAAGAAAGTAAAGGTTCTCTTAATAGTATTATGTCTCCTGTGATTAATCCCTTCAAAGAAAAGGAACTGCTCAGTTTAGAACCAGAACCCAACCACATTACCTTTTCGGGCCTTCCACAACTTATTCATGCTGTAAACATATTGTGTGGTGATGCAGTCATTTTGTATGGGGAAAAAATCCTCATTCTCAATATATTTTCCTGTATCAGTCAACTCAGATGACCGAGCTGGCAACAAAAGGCCAGCAAAGAGACTTTTAAGAGCTTTCCTGAGGGGAACATCTCTGGTTTGACCCCAAACAAACTCAATCTCTCTGGAGTTAACAACAAGAACCCATGAACAAAGGCAAAGGCCTATGACACTGTGGAAGTTATGTCTAAGGAATGACAACAATTATGTGTTAAAACTTAAAATATCCACAAAAAAACTACAGTTAAACCAAAAATTGCCACCCATTAATGGCAAACACCAATAAACTACAAAAACAACAAGGCCCGGTTTGTAAGAACAGATATAAATGTTTTCTGCTCTAATTCACTGATTGTTGATTCACTTTCCACTTGAGGTATGAAAAAAATGACAAAATACAAAGGCTATAGTGGGTTTTCTTGTCTGTTACAGTCATTCAGCCTTATTAGTACTCTGTGTGTAATTCACATCTTTACACACACACACATACACACACATTATATATTCATATGCAATATGCAGCTATTTCTGCAACTCGGGATTCCTATTTATGACACATCACATAACTCATAATGCATAAGAAAAAAATGACAAAATACAAAGGCTATAGTGGGTTTTCTTGTCTGTTACAGTCATTCAGCCTTATTAGTACTCTGTGTGTAATTCACATCTTTACACACACACACATACACACACATTATATATTCATATGCAATATGCAGCTATTTCTGCAACTCGGGATTCCTATTTATGACACATCGCATAACTCATAATGCATAAGGTCTTCTTCCAGAGTCGAGTTTTGTATGGGAAACTAATTTGAGCACAAGACACACCCAGCAGTCTTGTTGTTTAGTCGTTAAGTCGTGTCCGACTCTTCGTGACCCCATAGACCAGAGCACGCCAGGCCCTCCTGTCTTCCACTGCCTCCCGGAGTTGGGTCAAATTCATGTTGATCGCTTCAATGACCCTGTCCAACTATCTCGTCCTCTGTTGAGCCCTCACACTTTCCTAACATCAAGGTCTTTTCCAGGGAGTCTTCTCTTCTCATGGGATGGCCAGAGTACTGGAGCCTCAGCTTCAGGATCTGTCCTTCCAGTGAGCACTCAGGGTTGATTTCCTTCTGAATGGATAGGTTTGTTCTCCTTGCAGTCCAGGGGATTCTCAAGAGCCTCCTCCAGCACCACAATTCAGAAGCATCCATTCTTCGGCGGTCAGCCTTCTTTTTGGTCCATCTCTCACTTCCATACATCACTACTGGAAAAACCATCTCCTGTTTGCCCACATCCAGCTTACCAAGGTTCATAGATCTTACATTCCAGGTTCCTATGCAGTATTTTTCTTTGCAGCATCGAACTTTCCTTTCCCTCCAAGGCATGTCCGCAGCTGAGCGTCCTTTTGGCTTTGGCCCAACCACATCATTAGCTCTGGAGCTACTTGTCCTTGTCCTCTGCTCTTCCTCAGTAGCATGTTGGACGCCTTCCAACCTGAGGGTCCCATCTTCCAGCGTCATTTCTTTTAGCCTTTTGTTTCTGTCCATGGAGGTTTCCTGGCAAAGATCCTGGAGTGGCTTGCCAGTTCCTGCTCCAGGTGGATCGCGTTTCGTCAGATCTCTCCACTATGACCTGTCCGTCTTGGGGGTCCCTGCACGGCGTAGCCCATTGCTTCTCTGAATTACTCAAGCCCTTTCGCCACGACAAGGCAGCAATCCGTGAAGGGGCACGCAGTCTTACCTGTTCCTTTTCTCAACAACACCCCCTTGTGGCATCAACAAAGCAATTCAAACAGGAGAAGCACTGATTCTCTGTGACCAAGTGGATATAAGAGCGACTGTAATGGTAAACCCTGAAAGTGTTGCATCAGCTTCTCTCTCCCACTGCATCTCCTGCCCCGTTTGGAAATCACACTCCTTTTTTAAATGTAACTACAAAAGATTCTTTTGGCCCCATGTCGCAAAATGTTAGGAAATGCGCCACTGCATTAAAAAGTAATATAGACGAAGCAGGAATACCAAGAGAACATTTAGGTGGAGTCTGAGAAATGTTGCTCGGTAGCAAATGTCAATGGGTGGTTGCTTTAATACATCAAAGGCTCATGATTTCATAGCCTGCTTCTTTATGAAGTACTTAAAATCAAGCTTACCAAGCATTGTGCAAGGTAATGAACTGCTGAGGTGAGGGTTGTGTGTGGAGAATGTTCGTCCTTTGTCTGTTAACGGAGCACCCAACTATTTTGAAAGAAGCTTCATCTTCATAAGAAGTGTTAGCTCTGTTGCCCGTTGGTCTAAGGAGGCAGTTTACTCCAGGGAAATTACATGAGGGTTTGTGAAAGGGCAGCAAACTGTTATTCTAACTGCCTGGGAGAAAAAAGGGACTTGTAGACTTTCTGCCTCAGTTTGTGAGCCCAACCTCGAAAATGAAATGAAATACAAAATAAATAAATAAATAATGCCAGCTCACTGGTATTGGAGAAATAAAATAAAGCATTGTCCAAGCCATGTTACAAGAGACTCCTTCCCTCTCCCCAAATGTACACACATCAGTATTAATAGAAACAAGCATTACTTCCTTTTTGGAAGCATTACTCCAGATCCAGGTCTATAGAGCCTGTGTCCTGAGTACACTCCTGTACTGCAGTGAGTCCTGGACCCTTTGTGCACGGCAGGAGAGGAAGCTGAACACCTTCCATATGCGTTGCCTCTGACGGATTTTTGGTATCACCTGGCAGGACAAAGTTTCAAATAGAGTAGTCCTAGAACGAGCTGGAATTTTCAGCATGTATACATTACTGAAACAACGCCGTCTACGTTGCCTTGGGCACGTCATAAGAATGGCTGATGGTCAGACTCCCAAAGATCTCTTGCATGAAGAATTAGTGCAGGGAAACTGCCCCAGAGGGAGACTACAGCTGCGATACAAGAACATCTGCAAGTGGGATCTGAAGGCCTTAGGAATGGACCTCAACAGATGGGGAACCCTGACATCTGAGCGTTCAGCCTGGAGGCAGGCATTGCATCATGGCCTCTCCCAATTTGAAGAGACCCTTGTACAGCAGGCCGAGGCAAAGAGGCAGTCCCGAAAGAAGCAAAACCAGGGAGCTGGACAGGGGACAGACTGGATTTGTCTTCATTGTGGAAGAGATTGTCACTCTCGAATTGGCCTTCTCAGCCACACTAGACACTGTTCCATGACCTCCATATACAGCACGATACCATAGTCTCTCGAGACTGAAGGATGCCTACTACTACTCCAGAATGTGTAGTCTGCTTAACACTTTAGCTTTTTTTAAAAAAACTCTTATTTTATTTCTGCCATTTACCATATTTTCCCGAGTATAAGACGCCCCCCACTTTTCTAATCCAAAATTAAGAGTGGGGCTTAGCAAATAGGGGGGAGCAGGGATCAAAGCCCTGCAGGATCACATTGATCCCTGCTTTCCCCTCCACTTGTTTTTGTTCTCTCCTCAGCTTACTTCCATGTATACGATGACCCTCAATTTTTGGTCTAGATTTTAGACAAAAGTATAGTCTTATACATGGAAGAATACGGTATATAAACATATACTAACATTTCTATCCTCCTTTCTCTTTTCCATCAAAGAACTAGAAAAATCTGCCTCAGCTCACACCACTTTCCTTGAAGGACACAAAATGGCTGCCAACCCCAGCCTCCTGCTGTTTCGAGCATGGCCAGCAGACAAATTCCAGCAATTCTCACAGGAAAAGAAGGGCAGTGAGAACCTCCCTTCTGTTCACTTGCACTTCCTTTCTGTCTTATGTTCTCTGGAATCTCTGCATATGTACGGCCAACTGCAGTTTCCCATCACATTGCGTTTGTAGATCATCCAGCATTGCATCTGTGCTAAGCAGAAGAACGGAGGATGTGCAGATGAGAAGATAAAGGCTAGGCGGGAGAATAAGATATTTTTTGGGTGATAAAGAGAGACACTACTACAATACTGTGCTACTCAAACAAATGAGTGTAGCTATTTATTTGTGCCTCATAGGAGAGGGATTAAAACAGTAGAAAACCCTGGTTTAAAATGTATGCCAACATATATGGAAAGCAAGCACTCTGGACCAAGGGTGGGTGCCTTTCCTCTCTTCCCTTTTACTCATTTCGGACTGCTACTTTTAGGGCTCTCTGCTTTCTGCTTCTTTCTTTGCAGCCATTTCCTTTCTTTTTACTCTTCTCCCTTAGAGAGGTGGGCCTACAGAGAAATCAAAACTAAGATATCCACTAACCATGCCTTATATTTCTTTTTCTTTCTGCATTGTCTCATTGTGAGGCCAGGGACAGTGATGCAATGACCCCTGTCAGTATCCTCAGGTCCATCAAAATGCCATACCTCAAGTTCCCTCGTGGATCTGGGAGAAGCTATGCTGTTGTAGGACCACACAGGAGAAGTAGAAACCCAAGTGGATCTGGAAGATCAAGAGGCAGGTGAAAATTGCTGGGATGACAAAAGCCAAGTCTAGAAGCATCCATCTATACACATACACACGCGCACACCCTCTTGTGTGTATGCTTCATCTCTGCCTTGAAATAATGTATTATGCATACATTTCCCATGAGAACGTTGTTTTGAAGATGGTAGGCGATATAAGCATTGAATTCTATTGTTGGTATACACAAGAAAAAAAGAAAAGGAGAGAGATAGAGAAAAAAGAACCAAGAAGAGCAAAAGTGCAGGATCACTGGTCAAAGGGGGGGAGAAACCAGTGGGAGTTAAGAGATATAAAGGTGAAGGAGGAGGCTGAAAGAAAACTAGGCAAGGAAGAGAGATCAGGCCAGACAGGGGAGGGGAAGGGGTTGAGGAAGAGATATGGAATGACACATTCAAAGAACCTGCTACAGAGGTGTATCACATAGGCTTTGAAGCACCCGAGGAACCACTTTGTGGGGGGTGTCGTCTGGCTTCCCATTCGGTGCTATAGACAGCCTGCAGAACTACAAAGAAGTGCATCTCCCGCAAAGACCTGGGCCTCCCAGGAAGCACTGGGACAGTTTCCTTCATGCACAGGAAACGGGGCCATCTGAAACAGCCTGGAAGGTCAGCCCTGTTCCGGGCGCAAGTAAAATGCAGGTGTGTGTCTGTGGGCTGGAACGAGAGTCCAAAAGAGCACGGATGATGTACCTGTGGTGATCCGTCTGACAATCGTGGGAACGGCAGCTGAACACACTGGAAAGGCACCAGGTTGGCAAACACTGTTTTATCCTAATACATGGAAGGGAAATCACACACACACACACAAACACACACACGGAAGGGAAATCACACACACACACTCTCTCTCTCACACACACACACACAAGGGAAATCACACACACACACACGTGTGTACACATATATATGTATTTGGCTGCTTGTCACTTTATGTTTCTCAATGAAACATAGGGAAAGATATCCTGGACAGTTACTGCAGAAATCCTCCTGACAATGTTGATTATTTTTACTGTTGGTGGAGATCAGCTCTCATCTCTTGCCATATCCTGGGCTTTGCAGCTGCCCAACCACCAACATTTATTTAGCCAACTACAAATCTTTTAGATGTGTGTACCTTCTTCGCGCGAGAAAAGAAAGGTGGGTTTGTCTTTCTCTCTGCTACGGAAGCTTCCAATAATTCCAGAATCGTTGCTCTTTTCTGAAAGGAACCTAAAAGATACAAGCTGTCCTGTTGCAGTCTCTGTTTGACATAATTCTTTGGGCCTTGTGAAAACATGCACTGGCCTCTCTCCTGATATTGATGTGAAGACACCTTAGGCAGGATGAGTTATCATCCCATGACACCTCCTGCAGCAGGCCTCGTTTACACGTCCATGATTTCTTGTTCCACTGATTTCTCCTCCGGCTGCACATACTTCTCTTGGACTGCCAGTGTGCTGATTGTGTGAAAGTTAAGGACAATGAAGCAGCAAACAGGGGCCAGTGTTCAAGGTGCAAGCCAGAGGCTGCTGAACCATCATTCTTCATCTCTAGTTGATGGTTAGATGACAAGACAACAAATACATGTTCTGAAGATGCCGGCCACAGAGACTGGCGAAATGTTAGGAAGAAAAACCTCCAGAACACAGCCAAACAGCCCGAAAAAAAACGACAACCAGCATCGGATCCCAGCCATGAAAGCCTTCGAGAATACAAATACATGTACACTTCATCCAAATGTATAGTATCAAATACAGTGCATGTTACAAAAATGGAATTTCAGCCATATGGAACAAAAATGGGTGAAATAATCCCTTTAGATCATACCCTGTTCCCCTGAAAATAAGCCCTAATCTGAAAATAAATCCCAGTACGATTTTTCCAGATGCTTGTAATATAAACTCTACCCCCAAAATAAGTCCCAGTTAAGTGAAACTCCACCCTCCACCTTTGTGCAGCAACCATGATGAAGACATGTATTTGAATAAGTGTAGATTGTTGTACATGAAAAAAAATCCCCTGAAAATAAGACCTAACCTGAAAATAAATACCCAGTACGATTTTTCCAGATGCTCATAATATAAACTCTACCCCAAAAATAAGCCCCAGTTAAGTGAAACCACACCCTCCACCTTTGTGCAGCAACTATGATGAAGACATGTATTTAAATAAGTGTAGATTGTTGTACATGAAAAAAAATCCCCTGAAAATAAGCCCCAATGTGTTTTTTTGAAACAAAAATTAATATAAGACCCTGTCTTAATTTTGGGGAAACACAGTATAAGAACCTTCAGAACTAGGCACAACACATCAAACAATTTTATCCAAACCCCAGTGGTCTTCACATTTTATTCAGTGGGTGGTAAAACTTTCTTTACACCCTTACTCAGGAGAAATTGCTTTTAAGAGCTACAAGAGAAGGAGCTAGAGGGATTCTAGGCGTCAGTGGCACCCTCTGGCTTGGAGTTTTTACTCTGCCCCAAAGTCTTAAAAACCAACCTGTAAAGCCAGAGTTTATTTTTTTTCCACAAATCTCTGAATAAACCAGCAGGGTCTCTATTTATAAGCTGGATTTTATGGGCCATTCTGTGCAGACTCTGGCAAACCCACTTCCAGGATATGGAAGTCTCACGTGCAAATTCTTAGGGGCTCCCACATCTCTGCACTGGGTCATGCACACAAGCCCTTTCATACATGAGAGGAGATGCAATGTCGTAAACATGACTTGTCCTGTTCATTTCACTGGAACTGCTCTAAAGAGGTCTCAATCTGGGCCCAATCTATATCACTGCACATAAAAATTTAGCTCAATTGCCACAGCCCCAATGTGTGTGTTTTTTTTAAAAAAACACCAAATTACAGCTGCAGAAACAGACAGATCTGCATCTGCAGGGATTCTACACAGGTCTGATTCACAACTTAAAAGACCTCCAAGTGATCAGCCGACACCCAATGTTAAATGACAACAAAATGATGGGAGAGCAAACTTCTTTGAATAATTAATTCCTGACATATACAAACAAGGCCTAGCCTCTGAAGAGGAAGACAGAGTGGTGGGGGAAAAAGGGAAAAGGATACGATGAGAAGTGAAAATCAGCCCCCACGGCCGCAGACATCAGGACTTCGAGACTTCTGTGCTCCCCATCCCCGAAGGAGTAGCCATTGGCCTTGTCTACTGCTTGCATCACACACCGCATGCTCTCTTTGTCCTGGAAAGGAGAGAGGTGAGGGACTCCAAATGGATTTTTCTATGGTACTTCACCATGCTATTCACGATCTGATTTCTTGCAAAGCAATTTCACACAACTGCATTCCACTCCATGGCTTATGAAAACTCTTGTCTATTGAATCAGAATGACTGGCTGATAGATTGATGGAATTTATATACCGCCCCATTAGCGCAACGCACTATTCCGGGCAGTTTACAACAAGATAAAAACACTGTCATCATATATTTAAATAAAACAAATGAACCAACTCATGGAACTCCAAGAGACATAAATTGAAAAATATGGAATATAGCTATAAATGATAAATTAACTTGTAGTTTAAAGGTTAAGAAAGGAGAGTTGAAAAAATTATAATTTTTATGAAATATGGGGCAGATTTTTGGAATATGGGTTAATAAGAGGAAAAGGGAAAGCTCCAAATCAAGAATCAATGCAGTTCTGGAGAAGAGGACAATAGAAGAAGGAGCAGAAGAATACAGGTGGAGGAAGAAGATTACAGCAAGAGGTCCCGTTTATAGTGGTGGAGAACACAGTTAAATTGTATTTTAGTTTATGTGTTATATGTTTATGTGTATGTTATAATTATAGAAAATAAAAAATATTTTAAAAAATAAAAGTGGCACGCAAGACATAACCCCACCCCATCCACACATGGACATTGCCACTTGATGCTCCAGTCATCAAGAGGAGCAGCAAAAACATATGTGAACAAGCCTACAGGATGATTGTTAACCACAAGCTGTTCCCTCATCCTTAAAATATTCACTTCTGTACAGTGGGGTCTTGACTTAAGAACGGCCCGAGTTAAGAACATTTTGACTTAAGAACCACTCTCATAGGAAAATATTGACTTGACTTACATACTTAGATTTGAGTTACGAACTGAAAAAAACCACGTGGGAGACAGGGAAAGCGCAAAATTTGAACTTTCAGTTAACTGTTGGCCAGTGAAAAGGGTGCCTGTCTGCTTCCTCACTCCTCCCAGCGTTTAGAGAGTGGATTGGGAGACAGTCTTCAGACTGCCTGGTACTGCCTCGACTGTATTTTCCCTGCCTTCCCTGAACCTTTCTTGACCTAAGAAAAAAAAAGAAACAAAATATCCCCCTCCAGTGGTCGAAGGCGGAATAGCAGCTTCCCATTAGTTTCTATGGACGGAAAAGAGCAGATACGGATCAAATGGATTTCAATGCATTCCTATGGGAAATGCAGATTTGACCTGAGAACTTTTTGACTTGAGAACCGCCTTCCAATACGGATTAAGTTCTCAAGTCAAGACCCCACTGTATTAGAAATTTTTTTAACCCTGTTACAGTTGTCTAAATTCATCATTGTTGGACTTCATAATAAAAACAGGCATGCCTTTGCATTTCATATGGTACATCATTGTATGTATGTTATATATTTTTCCTGCTAAGTTAAATGATTGTTCCTTAATTTTTGCACTAAAAAATGTGTCCCCTCCAGCATATTGCAAGTGATCACCCTTCCCTTGCATCACTTTCTCCTACTCTGGTGCCTTCTAGACCTCAAGAGGAAGTCTTAAGGTCTAGAAGGCCTGAGAGGAAGAAGTCTGTGTAGGTCCACGTAATGAATTCATGGCTAAGGTGAGAATTGAATTGGCATTTCTCAGCTTCCAGGCTATCTTTTAGCCACCAAATTGTACTAAATGTCATTAATGTAGGAAAAAGACAAACAGCTGTTTATTAAAAAAAATACAGCCACCCAGAGATCTTTGGGTAGTTTGGGCGGCATATATATTAAATAAATAAATAAATAAACAGAAAATCCTATAAAATTCAATGCAGGAAAATATACCCCAAAAGTTTTTTTTGTAGGAAAAGCAGGTGTCAAAAATACAGTCTGTTTGATATAGTGGATGCTTGGTCCACGAACTTCAATTATTTGCTTCCTGTCACCTGCCTTTGGTTACCTGAACATTGAGAGGCACAAAGGAGACCAAGCTGTAGTCCTCAATGACTCCCACAAGCTTCTCATTCAGGCGACGGTAATTCTTGAAGAAAGGATCTGAAGCCAGATGATCCACTAGGTATGACAGATCAAGAACCTCAGTGTAATAATCTAAATTGAAGGCTGCAAGGCAACCAAAAAAAAGAAAAAGAAAGAAATAAAGAAAAGAAAAGAAAAATGTTCAGGAAGTTCAGGAATAGATGTACAGATGAAAATGATTCATTGATAAACCTCTCTGGAAAAAGACTCTCAGAAGCAGAGCAAACAGAAATTCAGCAGCTTAACCTTCTTCTACATGGGAGAGGTGTTCCTTGCAGTATATTTTTTTTTGTTCTGTAGCCAGAGAGATCGTGTGGCCTCCATGTTCACAGAACCAGGCGGGAACTTCAAAAGAACCAGTTTTTTTGTTCTGTAGCCAGAGAGATCGTGTGGCCTCCATGTTCACAGAACCAGGCGGGAACTTCAAAAGAACCAGATTCAAGTCTCTATTGAGCCTTGGACCCACCATTCTCTCACAGACTGATTTACCGGTTTATTCTCGTGTGGCCTCCATGTTCACAGAACCAGGCGGGAACTTCAAAAGAACCAGATTCAAGTCTCTATTGAGCCTTGGACCCACCATTCTCTCACAGACTGATTTACCTCACAGGTTTATTCTGAGATTAAAATGGGAAAAGTTGGATAGGCTGTCTTAAACTCAATGGATTAGTTTATAGATATAATTAATAAGTCAGAAATTAAAATAATAATAATAAGTACAGTATATTCAAGGCCATAAGGGAAGTGATGAAGACCGGCCCCATATTCATTACACAGCGTAAAGCGAGGCACCACTGTACAGTATATTCAAGGTCATAAGGGAAGTGATGAAGACTGGCCCCATATTCATTAAACAAAATTCAGGACTCTTTTCAAATGCTCAGAGTAATTTATGCAATGTCTGAGGTGTTGCCTTCTTCTCCAAGTCTGTTTTCTTGGGCTGGCAGCTGCCCTTGAGAATCTCAAGGAAAGATCTTTTCCACCCTGTGACATTAACAGCACTGTGTCAGATAAATTTAAAATTTAACAGTCTTGACTTGGGGTAGGGGTCAATATATTTTCTGTCATGGGGAGGGAAGGGTTTGTTTGTAAACCACTTTGAGATCGTGATAGTGAGGGGGCTAGAAATCTACCATTGCCTTCTTCGATACAATCCTGACAAAAATCCATCACTCTGCGCATGGCTTTTGGTAGCAGAAAAATATGCAGGAGGACCCCCTGTATCCTCAGGGGATTGGTTCCAAGCTGCCCCATGGATGCTGAAAAACAAGGATACTAGCGGACATTATTATAACAGTGAATGCTATACACAGCATGGGCCAATTCTGGTAACGACATCATAGAAATTTATTATTTCTGGATTTCTGTTAATATTTTTAATATTCTCAGGCCGTGCCTAGTGAAATCAGCAATACTGATCCCATGTATACGTGAGTCCGACTGTAGCGCTAAAAGGTATTTGTAAGGTGGAGGCCTGGACAACATTTGTCAGCTTTACAATAATTCTCACCCAGTTTCCCATACTGTTCGATCAGGTCCATTTTGGAGAGGACATTTACATGAGGAAGTTCGACATGCAGCATGGTGGAGAGGGAAGTGCAGAGAATGGAAATAAACTTGCCAGGGTCTGTGCAATAGTGAGAATCCACCAAATGGACAGCAGCCAGCTGCAACAAGCAAAGAAGAGCATAAAGAAGGATGAGACACACATCCTGTCAAGTCTGGAGGTTAACACAGGGAAACGGCACAGATGTCAGCACAGTTCCATCCTAATTCTTTATTTACACCTTTCCTTAAATTAGTTTCTTAAAGGATTAACCTGTATCTAGAGGCTATCTATATTACAAAGGAAAAAAAATTACCTTTTCGATCTATATTTTACAGAATCTCCCAGCCAACAGAGCTGCTGGATAGACTGTTAGAGGAATTCTCAGAGTTGCAGCCCCCCATTTTTTCCGCTAAACATCAATATCTGCATTAACTTTCTAAGCATTAATATCTGCAGGTCAAACTATCGTGTGCATTCAAGTTCAAAGAATCTTTCTGGCACCAATCTTGCTTCATTTCTTCCATGGCATGAGATTTAAGGCTCCAGGGCATGGATGCCACCAGCTTTTCTACAGCTTTTCGACGCAAGGTTGACAGTCAGTCTGGCTGCCTTAAGCATTTGCTCCAAGATGGTACAGCTTAAGCCAAGCACCGGAAGGTGGCTGTGGAAGGACAGGAGCGATTGCAGTGACCCAGGTTCACAGTTTAAGAAAATGTATATGACTTTTCCAACACGGAAAATATATTTCAAGAGCTTAAATCCAAGGATAAACATGAGAATTTCTTAATGACTACTTACCGTAGCATTACAGAAAGTTAGTAACAACACACAAATAAATCAAAACCAAACCTTTTTCAACAAGCAACCAAAAAAAAAAAATCTTGCACATTATATCTATACATTATTCAAAAAAATTCCTTGGTTTTTATCCCTTGGCCCTACATCATCACTTAGAAAAAAAAATGAAATATATCTATCCATAAGGATTTGGTGGTTCACCATCAGAACATCGCATGTTTTATATAAGAAGCAAGCATCTTTCAATAAGGCAGTTGCACTTGGAAATTTCTCAGAGAAGTTGGCTAGAGCACGTCACATCTCTTCGCTAGCCCTTTTCCCAGTCTACCAAACCACTAACAAACTTCTGAAAAAATGATTTGTCCTTGCACATGTTTACATATATGCAATATTGCCATGGTTGGCTGGCTATGGACTGCCTGGCCTCCACAGTAAATATGACATTATCCTGAATAATAACACACCCTGCATGTGTTGCAGAGGACATCATTTTGCATTGATTTGGGAACCAGCAGTTGGGATCGTTGCTGCTACATCACTGTTATTCTTACTGAGCATCTTGAAAACTCAGAAGCTGGAGCAGAGAACCTGTGATTTCTTAATTTTGGACTGCAGTTCGCATCATTCCTGGCCATTACACATCCCAGCTGGGGCTAAGAGGAGGCAACATGCAACAGCTGGAGAGGCACAGGTGTTATTGGACTACAACTCCCAGAAATCCTAATCAGCACAGCTCGTGGTGAAAGCTTTGGGAGTTGTAGTCCAAGAATACCTGGGGACCCAAGGTTGGGTCTAAAGCAGGCTTGTCCAACCTGCGGCCCGAGGGCCGCATGCGGCCCAGGTCAGCTCGCAGTGCGGCCCAGTGCAATTTTAAATTTTTAAAGAAATTCCAAAGTTTCAAGTTACAGTGCCGGTGCTTGTGGCCGGAATGTGGCACCTGGGGACCCAAGGTTGGGTCTAAAGCATGAGGCACTAGTACAACGAAGCATCCAGTGGCACCTTAAAGACTCGGTCGAAGCTGGCAGCCTCTGCTGTCTGAGATCACAGCTGCCAGTAAGCGTGCTTGGAGCGGGGCTGCGGAGGACGGTTAGGGCTGCCCCCCCATGCGGCCCAAACCAAATGTATGTGCGGCCCAAACCAAATTTTAATCTTCTAATGTGGCCCAGGGAAGCTGAAAGGTTGGACACCCCTGGTCTAAAGCATGAGGCACTAGTACAACTAAGCATCCAGTGGCACCTTAAAGACTCACACCAGCGCAGAGTGGAAAGGCAATGGCTGGTTTCCCCTGTTCTGGCATGTTCGCCAGTAGATGCTGCACTGGTTGCAGATTGGCTGAATAACTGGTGGGGTGACAGGAAGCCGGACAGAGTGGCTTACGGGAGTACCCTTACATGATTGCCCTTCTCCTCTGCACAGTACACAGGATCCTGGCCCAAGAGACTTTCCACGTTGGCTGGTTGGGACTTCTTCCCCCCCATCCCTTCAATTCCCAACCATGCGGCAACATCTGAAGAGCTGTTCTTACCTGCACTCACTTGAACATGAACAGAACCATCTATGGGGTCAGTAAAATCTGCCCTGCCAGAGTCCTGATTCACACAGGAGTGTTGTACTCACGTTGAAGTAAAGCTAGGCAGCATATGCCGCTTAATATGGCGAAACTGTGGAGGATAAACAGCTATCTGAAAGATTTCTAAAATGAAGTCGCCATCAGAGTTGAAACAGGACAGCTAGGATACCTGGGCTCACCATTCACAAATATATCTCCAGGCTGTTTGGGACTACAATTGCCATCACCCCTCAGGCAGCATGGGCCCAGTTGTGGAAAGCTGCTATGTGGTATGAGAGAAAGCTGAATCTCCAACAACATGACAGCCTGCCCTTCCAACCCAGGCAGCTTCTGTTATGGATTCACGGCAGTTCAGAAAAACACAGAAACCCTTGTGCCTTGAACTGAACTGCCCAAACCATGACACCTTTTGTTATAAAGTTTAAAAAGCGATCGCACATCACAGAATCCTTGTGAATTACCGTATTTTTCCGTGTATAAGACATCCCCATGTATAAGACGCCCCACCACTTTTCTAACCCAAAATTAAGAAATCTAAGGGGGGCTTAGCAAGTGCAGGGGGAAAGGGATCAAAGCCCTGCAAGATCGCTTTGATCCCTGCTTTCCCCTCCACTTGTTTTTGTTCTCTCCTCTGCTTACTTCCGTGTATAAGATGATACTCAATTTTTAGTCTAAAATTTTTAGACCAAAATATAGTCTTATACATGGAAAAATACGGTACTATAAATTCTGTTTTTTCAATTTGGCCTCCGATGGACAATTTTTTAACAACAAACTCCAACTGAACAATTCAGTCACATTTCTTGAACACCAAACGTACCCTGAAGTTCCATTTAGCAAGCTGAGCAAAGATGTTTCTCAATGAACTATGGTGGGTGCACAGCTCTACTTGTCCAGGGCAGTCAAATAAGAAATAATGTCCCTTAAATCGTGCTAGCTTCTCTTGCAGCCAGTCAAAGTTGGCTTCCAGGTACTCCATGCAATAGATTAAGCCACCATTGGGTCCCAGTTTCAAATTCTCCATCACATCAGCCAATGTTATCAGTTCTGAGATATCCACAGCGCACTGGTAGGGAATTCCTTCATTGGCTGGGTCCAGGTTTACCACAGCAACTTTACGCCCAATTGCAGAAAGGAACTCCTGCATGGCGAGACAGTAAGTCGTTTTCCCTGAACCAGGAGGCCCAATCACCGCCTGGCCGAAGTGTAACTCCGACGACGTGTAGCTTGTTGACATGACGAACGTCTCTTTTCCCTGTTTAACAACAACAGCAAAAAAGGAATGAAAAGCCATTTTGCACATTGCTTTAGAGGCAAAAGTGGATGCAGTGCAAGGCACAGACTCAGTAGCCAATCTTGACAGTCTCAAAATTCTACTATGATAAAGTCCCTGATGCATTTTCAATTGAAAGTTTTAGAATTACTCTTGAAATATTTAAGTATTTGCCCATGTAAACCTAAAGAGGGGAAAAAATAAAGAACAAATAGGGTACTACTTGATGATGACCATTGATTTGGAGTCTTCTAATTTAGTATAATTAAAGTATTAGATTAGAGCTAGGCAGGTCTGAGATTGAAGTCCATTCAAGACACAAAAGTTAACTAGGGGTGAGGGCTCAAATTGCCGGATTCGCTGTCAAGTCAGACTTAAGTCACATCTGCGACTTGACTCAGGTTTTTTCTTTCTTTCTTTCTCTGATTTGGACTTGATTCCCAACTTGGAACCCACCCACATCTCCTTTTTTTCCCAGGGAAAAAAGCTTGTTTTTAATAGAGACTCGGACGTGGGACTCAGGACTTGGTACCAAAGCCCTGAACTCAGTCTCGGTCTCGAAATATTTGCCAGCATCACTTAAGTTAACTAACTGATCTTGGGAGAGTTTCTTTCTCAGGCAAACCTACCTATATAGTCTTTGTAAAGGAAAATCAATTTAAATGTGGAGAACAGTAATGATATTTTTCACTTCAAATGGAAGCAGCTCTTCTCTTCCTGGTCAGTGTCACACTTTGCAATCACAAATCTGTTGCACAGCCCTAAACTGATGGCTGTTGGCAAGTCATAACAACAACAGTGGCCGCCAGATACCTGAACCACTGAGCTATTCAACTAGCTGCTGCAAGCGATATATATTAGCAAGAAAACCAATACACTTCTTTGGTTTGGGGGTAAGAATTCACAGACATGAGAAACAAAGCATCTCTCCTCTTTTTTGGAGTTTGTTCCTTATTTGTAACTTAATTGCCTGGAAAAAGTATATGTAAAAGCAAAATAGAAATAAAAAGTAAAAAAAAAGACAATACAAACATTCAGCAGCAAGCTTTTGTGCTTGAAAAAAGTAATTCAAAGCAAAAGGTGCTAAAGAGAATCCCCCCCTTTTTTTAAAAAAGGATTTTTCTTACAAACTTATCTGTCACCTCAGTTTTTAGGGGGCTTTATGAAGAGTGGTGGTGGTGGGATAATAAAGCATACTTTCAGAAAACTGCTAATGGGCAGAATGAAAATCAGAATTATTGGGGTTCCACTGGACAGGATAGGCTTAAAGGAAGATGAGCATAAGCAATATAAGCCTTCGCAATACATAAGCAATACTTTTACAAAGGTGGTGCGGAGTGCCTCGAAGCTAGATTGAAAAAGGTCTCTCTTTTAAAGACAAAACTGGGTCAATTCAGCCATTTCTAGCACATGTAATTATTAAAACTACGCAGATTAAGCGCAAGCACCTGGCTGCAGAGCCAGAGGTTGGGAGTTCGATTCCCCACAGTGCCTCCTTGAAAAAGGCTGGACTCCATGATCCAGATAGCCAGAGGTTGGGAGTTCGATTCCCCCTAGTGCCTCCTCGAAAAAGGCTGGACTCCATGATCCAGACTGGGTCCCTTCCAGCTCTGCAGTCCTACGATTATTACTGTTATTATAAGCACGCCTCACCTCCTAAGGAACGGCAACACGGACCCTTTTCGCAACGCACCGCCCGCCTCCGACATAGAGACGGAAGCACTGTAGTTGCACGGCGGAATTTTCTTTGCAGCTGGACTCCTCCATAGGCTATGCCTAACTTCCGGTGACGTCAGCACTCTTTCCTCTCCCCAGGGCGGAAGTAAAAAATGCCTCGTGAGATATAACAAGATAGATGTATCTAGCAAGAAAGGACTATGCAGAATCTAAAAGGGAACTATTTATATATATATATATTAGCCCATTAAAATAGTTCCTTTATATATATATAATATAATATAATATATATATAAGCTCATTAAAATAGTTCCCGTGTGTGTGTGTGTGTGTGTGTCAAACTTAAGTATGTTATCCAAAGACGGAGGGAGAAATATAAATAAAGAGCGTTTTTTGACAAGGAACCCAAACCCGCCTTCCTGTTCACTAGTTTTGTTTGTGATTCTGCCTTTCTTTGTGATGCTGCTCTCTGCCTATTTTTCGTTTATTGGAGTGGTTCGTGTATTGCTTTAAGCCATTCTGGACAGTTTTTACAGATAGGGCCCAGAGACAAATGTAAATAAACCAATTAGGCACTATATAACTTACAATAATTTCCGGAAAGGTAGCCCTCTTTGCCTCTGCTGCGGCAAAGAAGCGCGAAGAATTCTGTGGCATCTCTAAATGTGGTCTAGCTGCATAAGCTTTGGGACTCCCCACACATTTTGTTAGAGGCATGTTATTCTATTAATTGCAGGCCATTAATTGCTATATTAATTGTTCCCAACCGCCGTCCATGGAAAAAAGGCAAAAGCCAATGTTAGTGAAGGTTATTAACATGGGGTAGCATGGCGGCGCTCTATCTCTTGCCGTCTCTATGGCATCTCTATGGAGTTCCTCTGTGCGTTGTTTATTCTCTTCCGGGTAGAAAAAAAGGAGACTATCAAGTGTTCCAAGCATACTTTACCGACTAAACGGTGAATGATCTGAACAAGTGAAGAAGCAAGATGACAGGCCGAAGAGGGCTTTGTTTTTGTCTCGTTCTAGAGACAACGGGAGAAGAAACAGCGGTCATGGAAACCCTCTTAACACGTGCTAACTTCAGGCAGGAACAGCAATTGGAAATACTTGGGATCTGCTACCTTTGCGTGTGAATGGGGTTTACTAGTCGCTCATAGTAGACATGTTCTTGATAGGCAGTATATAAATATAATAAATAAATATTTTAGGGGAGGAATAGCAATTACTTGTTAATTCTAAACTATTTGAGCACTTTTTCTATTTTTAAATACACACACATACACTTTTGTTAAGAAAGTTTTAAGCAACCGAAAAATAATACATAACGCACCACTCTTACATTAATTATCTAATGCAATACTTACAAATAAATGTTCCATGTCCTCGAAAGGAATTCTCATTATGTCCTTTAGTTGGCAAAGTGAAGGAGGATTTTGTACCTGATATGCCATAAAATGAAACTCAGTGGCCACAGGAACACACAGAATTTGCAAAGGCTGTGCTTGGATCTCTTTGGTTAATTCATTACACTGCCCTATTCTGAAATTCAGGATGAAATCCTGTATTTTAGATTAGCAGTCAAACTAGAGTAAACCCATTGATTCTATGGGGGTTTGGTGAGTCAACTCCCCAATAAACTGTTGATTCAAATGGAACAATATGAGTTATGCTAAAGTAAGTTGTAAATTACTGGAATTTAAAGAGGAATTGATTCACCAAATCCCCACTGATTCAATGGCTTCATGCATTTCTACATTAAGTAACAGGATTTCAGCCTCAGTGTATCACTGTGACCATATGGAGTGTTCTGTGGTATTCCAAATGAATACTGTCACAATTTATAATACATGTTTTGCCCAAAGCAGGGATGAATTTGTATTAGGAACGGAGTTTCAGTCCCTCAACTTTACTTTCAAATTCAAGGATGACATAGAGAATATTTCTTATCTCTGAACAAGGACAGTGTTTTCTTGTAAATAACCACAGCCAGCCCAGTAAAATTGGCACTGTGTCTGCTTTTTTGGAGGAAAAACAGGATAAAGTTGTAAGAGGTATTTTAGGCCCTTTTTACTTAGTCGTAAACCAGGGATGAATTTGTATTAGGAACGGAGTTTCAGTCCCTCAACTTTACTTTCAAATTCAAGGATGACATAGAGAATATTTCTTATCTCTGAACAAGGACAGTGTTTTCTTGTAAATAACCACAGCCAGCCCAGTAAAATTGGCACTGTGTCTGCTTTTTTGGAGGAAAAACAGGATAAAGTTGTAAGAGGTATTTTAGGCCCTTTTTAGTCATAAACCAAAAAGATCACAGCTCCATAATTAATACTGTGATGACATTTGTTCACTCTGTTCAAGGTCCTCACTTTCTCCGCTGACCATACCAGGATCAGCCCCTTTCTTGTAAAGAGCAAAGCACTGTTCTTCTTTAGTAGGAATAATGGCAACTGAGCAAGATTTAATGTTCAGAATACATATGTGAACTGAAGTTGTGACAAGTTAAGTGTTGATTAAAAAAAACCCAAAGGGATGCCAGATTATCTTCCTTCTGGAAAGACAGATCCTGAAGCTGACGCTCCAATACTTTGGCCATCTCATGAGAAGAGAAGACTCCTTGGAAAAGACCTTGATGTTAGGAAAGTCTGATGGCAAGAGGAGAAGGGGACGACAAAGGATGAGATGGGTGGACAGTGTCATCGAAGCGATCAACATGAATTTGACCCAACTCCGGGAAGCAGTGGAAGACAGGAGGGCCTGGTGTGCCTTGGTCCATGGGGTCATGAAGTCAGACGCGACTAGACGACGATGAAACCAAAAATATCACAGCTCCATAATTAATACTGTAGTGACATTTGTTCACTCTGTTCAAGGTCCTCACTTTCTCCGCTGATACCAGGATCAGCCCCTTTCTTTTAAAGAGCAAAGCACTGTTCTTCTTTAGTAGGAATAATGGCAACTGAGCAAGATTTAATGGTTCAGAATACATATGTGAACTGAAGTTGTGACAAGTTAAGTGTTAGGGATGCCAGATCATCTTCCTCAATCTGGCACATTCTTCTAATGTGTAAACAAATCCTGTAATCGGTTAATTGGGGATGCTGTGATTCAGTATGTCTGAAAACTATAGTTAAGAGTCAGCTGTCCTATAAGGTACAACTTTCTTTTCAAAGACAGACCTACACAAAACCAACATTTACTTTACAGGTCCATGGGGTCATGAAGTCAGACGCGACTAGACGACGATGAAACCAAAAATATCACAGCTCCATAATTAATACTGTAGTGACATTTGTTCACTCTGTTCAAGGTCCTCACTTTCTCCGCTGATACCAGGATCAGCCCCTTTCTTTTAAAGAGCAAAGCACTGTTCTTCTTTAGTAGGAATAATGGCAACTGAGCAAGATTTAATGGTTCAGAATACATATGTGAACTGAAGTTGTGACAAGTTAAGTGTTGATTAAAAAAAACCCAAAGGGATGCCAGATTATCTTCCTTAATCTGGCACATTCTTCTAATGTGTAAACAAATCCTGTAATTGGTTAATTGGGGATGCTGTGATGCAGTATGTCTGAAAACTATAGTTAACAGTCAGCTGCCCTATAAGGTACAACTTTCTTTTCAAAGACAGACCTACACAAAACCAACATTTACTTTACAGGAAACTGACAGTTCTTCTGCTACTTTTATGTATTTCTTAAATATAACATTGTATAAATTATTGTAGAAATAGGGAATAGTTACAGAAGCGTTAGTCCTCCCCTTCAGCATTACTATTTCAAAACATATTTTTCTTATGAAGTACATGTTGACACCTGAACTGAAAACTTTCCATGGATGGTATAACTTGAAAAAAAGCTGATAGAAAAATGAACAGGACGTGAAGTTGTGACAAGTTAAGTGTTAGGGATGCCAGATCATCTTCCTCAATCTGGCACATTCTTCTAATGTGTAAACAAATCCTGTAATCGGTTAATTGGGGATGCTGTGATTCAGTATGTCTGAAAACTATAGTTAAGAGTCAGCTGTCCTATAAGGTACAACTTTCTTTTCAAAGACAGACACACACAAAACCGACACTTACTTTACAGGAAACTGACAGTTCTTCTGCTACTTTTATACACTTCTTAAATATAACACTGTGGAAATTATTGTAGAAAATAGGGAATAGTTAGAGAAGCTTTAGGCCTCCCCTTCTCCATTACTATTTCAAAACATATTTTTTCTTATACAGTACATGTTGACACCGGAACTGAAAACTTTCCATGGATAGTGTAGCTTGAAAAATGCTGATAGAAAAATGAATAGGACACAAAGCCAGACTCTTCAGGAAGATGTTTTGAAAGGTGGAAGATTAATCTTGAATGATTTCTGTGACTCATCTCTTAAGCCAAGCTTTTTCGGGAGGTGAATGTGAACAGGTGTCAGCATTTCTAACCTGGGGTGGTGTGGGTTCAAGGATCAGAAGAGCCTCAATCTTCTTGAAAAAGCATCAACCAAGTATATACCTTTATCCAAATGATTTAATAAAAATAATTAGTATTTTGTTCCAAATTGGTTGCAGTAATCTATGTTCTTTTAATACCTGTCTCCCTCAAAATAAATAAAAATAACGTCTTTCATTGCAAAAAAGCACATTTGGTCCAACAGTTTCTTCTTGCTGCCAGTCTCTCAAGAATTGAAGCTCTGAGAAACTCCATGCACGGTATGGAGGAATGCTGTATCTTGGCGATATTTCAAGCTGATTGGTAGCTGGCGCCGAAGTAGTTCCTCTTCTCTGTCCTCAGGATGGGGCTCATCGTAGATGGTGGAGATCAGCCCGCAGCCACCCTGACGTGGTTTCTTGGGCTTGATGAATGTCTGCAGCTTTTCGCCATGGTACCTGAAGAATAGGATGGGAAAGAGAAATGAAGTGCCCATCTCTCTCTACTAATTATTTTAAACAGACAAATCAGAGAATTCCAGGCAGAAAATTCTCCTCTCTCACATCCAGTATGGTAAAGCACATTTCTTGCTTTCCCCCTTGTCTCTGAGGATTGCATGTCAATGGGACAACAGTTTGGACATTTCTGCAGACAAGAAATTTAAATGTATTTGACCCTCGGGGTTGGGGATTGTGGAACAGGATCTGAAAACACAGAGGCAAAGGCTTCAGCAGGTTTCGGAGGGTTAGTGAAATAAAAATATGTAATTCCTGGTTCTCAAATAGGCAGCCTTTCCTGAAAAAGCCTCTGGTGTAGGTTTTTGGCACGAAAGGAAAAAAAGAGAAAGAAAATTATCCAAAGCGTGTTGGGGGTGGTGGGGGTGGAAAACTGACTCCCAGTTCCACCCAAGCTGTCCAATGCTGGTCTACCTATTTAAGGTGAAAGCCAACAAGATGAATCG